CGAATTAAAGGTAGGTATATTTTTTTACCTTGACAGTATTTTTACACTACAAAATAAGAACCAAAGGTTTTCTTTGATAAAAGCCTGCCAAATTCAACTTTTATAATCTGTGATTTTGGTTTTGGTCGGTTAGCGGTTGATAGAAAGTTCTATTACTAATTATTACTAATTTTGGAATGCTGTCAAAAAGGTCATCTGTCGGTTATTCTAACCAAACTTTTTCTATTGTTTGGGTGTTGTTTATACACAATATTTTTAAAATAAATTTGGCAGCATTCTTTTTGAAATTATGTATAATAACTCTCAATAAGGTACAAAATTAACTAATTTAGTAAAAAAATTGACAGCAACCAAAATGTTACCGTTAAAAATGTGCGGTCGCTTTTTCAGTAACCAAAAGAGTTTCAGGAAAATGTTGACATTTCAGAGGAACCAAAATCTCGGTTCCTATCCCAGTAAACATTTGTGATATCACGAAAAAGTCAAGACGTGACATGTCACAACTTGATATCCAATTGCTGGCACAGTGATTAAGTTTGTCGTTTTATGTCAGCAGTGACACGCGCGTGATCTTTTTATGTCATGACGTGACCCCGCAGGGACGAAACTTTTCATTTAAATGACATTACTTTAATTTGGTCATAAAACGTTAATTACGTACCTATTATGTTATTATTGTTATACACGTTATAGGTTAATGCTTTTAAACAATTATTTCCCCAAAAATATATAACTTCACTTTATATTTGTTTGCGATTTTGCAATCGAAGAAAAAAATTAAATTCGTTTCCGTTTTATTTTTAATCTATAAATAATAATAAACTTAAAAAAAGCAGTATATACTATAATCTAATATAATATATGATATCATAATCAAAAATTTTATTTTAAATAACTATTTGGGATGTTTCAGCGCCGCCTCTGGATTAACTAAATTTAATTTACATTAAATTAAGCCCTTTGCCTACTACTAAAAACCTAAAAGGTTTTATCAAATTCGCCCAAAAAATAAATATATTTTTTAATAACTTTACCACCGGGCCCTGCCTCTCGAAAACGAAGCTTCACAGCAAACGAAAAATTATAGAAGTGTATAGGATGACTCCGCGTTTGAATATCAAATCTTAAAGTTTTATCATAACTGTATTGAATCGTGCTTTGTTTTTATATTTTTCGGCTCTATACCTATGCACGACTATATTTAAAGTCAAACTCAATGGTGTCTTACAAGATACATTATTTTTATTTTCTATATTCAACAGAGGAGTAGAAACTCGACCCTGTCGAATGGTGCAGTCATATATGTCTCTAGAAATTATTAAAAAAGGGTTCAGTCCAATGGTGCAGCAACTTCGGATTCCTATTCTCCTCAGAGACATAGAAACTCAAGCTTTTCGAATTTTACTGGCAATGATTTTCGTTAATGTCCCCGAGAATTATACAAAAACAGCGCAATGCAATATCGCAACGGTTTCGACTTCTCTTTACTCTACCAAGTTATAGAAACTGGAGTCTCTCTAATACTGTTCTAGTCAATATTTCTGAGAGTATAAAAAGAGGGTGTAATATTGCAAGAAGTTTTGATCTTTTGATGGATGAATTTTCTCATTTCTCCATATGATTTTGTTGAAAATAGTTCCTTTCTTTGGTTCCTTTGTCTGATTTTTATTTACCGTAACAACTCAGGTATGTAAAGCACAGAGGATATGATGTTAAGTATATTTATGTATTATATAAAGTACCTATATTTGTATTAAAAATTTAAGAGGTTATGTTGAAAAATAATCGATATGCTATTAAACTTTAATAATTTAGTAATTAGGTCTGTTGGTAGACCCTGCACTATCTCCACTGGTATATGTTAATTTTGTAATATTTAAATCTGGTTGATGAAAAAGTACACACCAGTGCAGGTTATTGTAGCATCTACGAACAAATGAATTAATGGCCCATTGGCAATTATTCCTTTAGGAAAAATATTCAACACAGCTTAATTAATTAATAAAATGAAAAAAATCACAATCATGTCGTATATAGTTTTTTTTAAGCATAAAATAATTTTTATATTAATACTAGTTCAAAAGTGAAATTACGACCTCTATACTGTGGAGAGTATTGAAACGCTCGACTGACGAATACAACTCTATACCGTAGGGAGATTTAGAAATCGATATTCAAACGTGGCGTCATCCTATACACCTCTATAATTTTCCGTTTGCTGTGTTTAAAACATAAATACTTTTCTTCTGATATTTTCGATTTCTATAGATCACTAATTTTTCCCAATTAAAATCTGCGACACCCTGGATACATGTAGGTATTATACTTATAGGATACTTGATGCACCCTGTAAAAAGGTAGTGTGCAAAACTTGTCTTATTATTATTTTATTTAAATAAATGTTGACTGTTAATATTTTAGCCCATAATTTTATTTCACCCAATGCCGCAAGTTTGTTGAAGCTGTGATATACGATAAGAGGGTCGTCGCTATTGTTACTAGCGATGCAACGTGTTTTAAAAGACGTTGCATCGCAATTAACGATAGCGACGACGCTTTTTTCGTTTATCAGAGCTCCAACATGTTTTAAATATTCCCCTGCACTTTCGCTCGCGCATGCGCGCTAGCAATGTCACGGAGTGATATCCCATTGAGTGCGTATTGCGCTTGAATGTCACGACTTGATATCCCATTGATTGTGCATTGTGGAAACATATGAATGCGTCAGTGATATCACGATGTCAAGACGAGATTTCGGAGTGATTTCAATACGCAATCACAAATGTTTACTGGGATCATAAATGTCAACTTTGACATGGAATGATTGCAGCATTGGCAACACATTTGAATTTCAACCAATGTTGCCAACAGTAACAGTGACTGAATGCAACAGGTATTTCAAATTTTGAACTACCTGTTGCATTCAGTTACTGTTACTGTTGGCTACATTGGTTGCAACAGGTATATTTGTTGCTCAAGGTTAAATTTTGTTTCTTTTTTGTTTTGGATATTATTATTATGTTTGTGAGGTTCCAAATTTTGTGATGTGAAATGGTTTTGGTGGATGTAGGAATACATAGATACTAAATTATATATAAATGGTAATATACCTACTTTATTATTATTAAAGATGTGTGTACGTAAATTTTGAGGTTAACATTGTTATATGGGTTTTTCTTTGAAAGTGTAGGTACTAAATCGCCGCACAGTCGGATGACCTTGGCAAAATTACCTTTGGGTCACTTTTTACTGGAAAAAATTAAAACTTGCAGTCATGTATGTAAAGTAGCCTGTCAATGAATTTTTGGAATTTTTAATAATTATTCATTTTATTGATAAAAGTGAATTATTATTCCTACACTGAGAAAAAAGTTTATTGCTTCCAAATAAAAAAAATATTTAAATATGGGACAAGGGTAGAGTTTATTTATCCTAAATATATTTTTATTCCCGGCACATAAAGTTTTACTAAAGTATATTTATCGTTATTATTTCGACTATTTAGAGGTAATAAACAACAACATTCACTATTAATAAAAGTATTAGCTACACAATTTATTTGTCCCATTTTTTTCTCAGTGTATAATTATAATTAAAACCAGTGGACAAATTATATCAAAATAACTACCAAATTAAACCTTAATAAGTAGTTCAACAAAATAAAATAATTAATAAATAGGTATAACTAAACAAAACTAGGCATTAAGATTTAAAATAAATAGGTACCTACCACAGACCTAGGTCTGTGGTACCTACCTATATAATAAATACAAATTTGACCCAAAATTGACCCAAAAGTTAATTTTTCCGGAAAAGCCCATCCTCTTGAAGGTAGATAATGTTATTTTATTGTTTTTGGCGATTTTTTAAGCAAAATGTTAAGCTTAAACCCCTAAACATGTTTAGAGTAAATATTCCGTGATTTTAATTAATATTATATTATTATTATTATTAAAAATTAAATCGGATATAGGTAATTTAATAAAATAATTTTTTCAATAAATGAAATAAATAAAATAAATAAAATAAATAAAATAAATAAAATAAATAAAATAAATAAAATAAATAAAATAAATAAAATAAATAAAATAAATAAAATAAATAAAATAAATAAAATAAATCAAATAAATCAAATAAATCAAATAAATCAAATAAATCAAATAAATCAAATAAATCAAATAAATCAAATAAATAAAATAAATAAAATAAATAAAATAAATAAAATAAATAAAATAAATAAAATAAATAAAATAAATAAAATAAATAAAATAAATAAAATAAATAAAATAAATAAAATAAATAAAATAAATAAAATAAATAAAATAAATAAAATAAATAAAATAAATAAAATAAATAAAATAAATAAAATAAATAAAATAAATAAAATAAATAAAATAAATAAAATAAATAAAATAAATAAAATAAATAAAATAAATAAAATAAATAAAATAAATAAAATAAATAAAATAAATAAAATAAAAAATAAAATATCCTGTTTTATTAATTCAGTAAACCTCTAAACAATCTTCTGCCAAAATCCCGGGACCCCAAAGTTAATAAATCTGCTATACGCGTAGTCTAGAATACTTTGTGTTTGGTTCAGTTCTTAGTTTAGTCAGTAATGTCCAACAAATATTAAACCACAAAAATTTTATAAACCTTTAATAGATTAACTCGTTTCTTGGATATTTTCAGAAATATCCAGACTATAAATAGAAATTTGGATATCAAATTTGTTTTAAATGAAAAATTGTAATGCACAAAAAATAATTAGGGCGGCGATTTGAATTCATATTTTAATTTAAATTGTTGATAAACTTTCTACTGTTAAATTATAATTTACACATGTTGCAACAGGAATTTTTCTTCTGTATTGCCTTGAATTTATATCTTTTTATATATGTACATATGTATTTGTTTTTGAAGTATGTGTGAATATAGAAGTTGTACATTATGTAAAATTTAACCTTAATATTTTATTTTTTGCAGTAGATATTCCCATGGAAGAAGACAAAGTATATTTAATCGATGACTTTGTCACCGAAGACATTTACCTTATAGACCCTGAGGATGTAGACAAGGAAAACCAATCCCTACTAGACACTCTAATTACCTTTGAAAAAACACAAAGTTCTGTTGATCCAGAAAATGGCGGAGAAAATAATAATGAAGAACATAGAGAGGAGTAAGTGTTTTAGATATAAAAATGCATACACAAAATATATTTTTTGTATTTCGTCCCTAAAATAGCTATTTTACGCACTCATTTGAGCAAAAGCGTAGGTATATGGGTTTCAAAGGAAAGTTTTTAAGACCAATCTTATTCTTTTAGAAAATAATTTCTCATTGCAATAATTTATCCCTGTAATAATTCCTTACTGCATTAATTTCTTACTGCAATAATTTCTCACAAATTAGTAATTGGTAAAACTACTATTGTATAACATTATTTGGGCCCTTATCTTTTTTTTATGTGTTGAATAATTAATTATCTTAAGCTTATTAATATTATTAAAAAAAATAAAACAAATACTTAAGTATTTTAAGAATTGAATACTAAATAAAATTGTTTTCAGCTTTAAACCCTCAAAAACACATGTATCCATTGATTGTATTGAATTAAGTAAAGAACACAAAAATACACATTCCCAAGTCAAGAAAGAAATTAAAGAAGAAGAGGTGCATATCGTGGATGAATTGCATGTTAAAACCGAGTAAGTATTTTTAATTTACGCAATAATTAACAAAAACCATTTACGTTTTAAAAAATCGGCAACATCGTAAAAAAAACAGCGGCGAAAGCTTAATAATTGCCTTGCACACAATCTGCTCCATCGGCTGTCAAATTATTGACTGGGTTGTCAAATGCAACTTGGGGTAGTTGTTTAAAAAATATATAAATACTTTTTTTAAATTAATTAATGGAGTTTGTACATGCAATTCTTTTATTGCATATTTGAAATCTACACATACAAGCCATTAACGTTTTTTTCCTACGTTTCTCAAACAATTTTTGAGAACGCTACAGCGCGCTGCAGCGTCTTGAAAGATTCAAACAAATTTCGTTGAATATTAAAATCTTTTTAATTGTTACTAAACCATTAGGATCGTATTTTAGTCATAAATGTTGCATATACTTAATTCTTAAGTCTGGACACGCCTGTTACAGTTAACAGTGTTACACCGTCACGTTACTAAATCTTTCAATTATTTTTAACTCCCATGGGAGCAAAATCACCGATTTTCGACATTTTGTCCCAACCCCATTGTATTAATTAAAACATTAAAATAAATAAAATTAAATTTAATTTGATAAAGCCCATGACTCAAAAATTCCACGCGCTAGAGACGTTATTTGTTTGTGTTTGGGGGCTGTTTACACTACCCCCTAGCGGTTCATTTATTAATTATTTTTGGTTATCAAAAAACTTTACATTATAAAATGTCTTTTTTACTTTAGATTTAACAATGAAAACCATGATTCTTTATCATCGTCATCCAGTTCTGATTCAGACGATGAAAATAATTCGACGGTAACGGATGAAAACAACACGAAAGCTGAACCAGATAACAACATTTGTAGCGTGAAAGGAAATAAGAAGTAAGTTTAAATATATTATATATTTTCACTAACATATGCATGTGTGTACAACCATGGTTATGAAAATTATGACCAAAATGCTATAAATGCAAAATTTTCTATAAAAAGGGGTTTAAAGTGTTCAAGCAGATAAAAGAGGTCTCACTCTCTGTTTAATATAGTTTTTCTAGCATAAAAATAATCAAAATGATACAGGAATTTTTTTGAGCTTAAAAATAATCAACATGTTACAGAAATGTCAACATCACCAACGTCATGATTTAAATTATTTTTTTTTTTAAATATAATATCAATTTGTTACATGGTTAAAAAATTTAAATATTTTTACATTTTTTTTACTACCACCACGTTTTAAAAAAATACCCATACAAAGATCTATAGTTCACCTAATTTAAAATGTTAAAAACTTTCAGAATTTAAAAAAAGCATTAGTTCATATACAGGGTGTTTCATAATATATGCGCAGAACTTCAGGATGTGATAACTCATCCAAAAAGATGAAAAAGTCGCTATTAACTTACCCTCTAAAATGCACAATTTTCGAGATACAGGGTGTTGAAATTTTAGAAAAAAAATCGTTTTTTTCGAATATCTCCGGAACCGTTTATCGTACAAAAAACAGCTTTTGTAAGCATTTTCTACTCAAAATAAGCTATGTTTTGTGCCAGAAAAAATTTTTTTTTACTCAAAATTGGTGGAGATTTTGAAGGGGTAGCGGGTGTTTTTCTCCTCAACTTCTAAGCCCCTGAAAAATGTACGGTTTTGAGAGGCCTATTCGAACCGCCAATGTTTTCTACACAAAAAAGGTACTCTTGGTCATAAGCTCTAAAGTTGACCGTTTTAGAGAAAAATCAACTTTTATGTTTTAAAACATGTTCAATTTAAAAAAAAATAATTTTTTTTTACTAATTAAACAAAATTTATTTTAACGTTAGAACAAGTAACAAAACCAAACCATAATTGCAAAATAAAAAATGATTCAAAAGTTGTCTTTGCTAAATTCTCCAAACCGTAAAGGTAACGCATTTCGAACATTTCAGCATTTGTGTAAAAAATCATTTTTTATTTTTTTTTTAATTTTGCACTTATCGTTTGGTTTTGTTACTTTTTCTAACGTTAAAATAAATTTTGTTTAATTAGTAATAATTTTTTTTTAAAAATTGAACCTGTTTTTAAATATAAAAGTTGATTTTTCTCGAAAACGGTCAACTTTAGAGCTTATGACCAAGAGTACCTTTTTTGTGTAGAAAACATTGGCGGTTCGAATGGGCCTCTCAAAACCGTACTTTTTTCAGGGGCGTTGAAGTTGAGGAGAAAAACACCCGCTACCCCTTCAAAATCTCCACCAATTTTGAGTAAAAAAAAATTTTTTCTGGCACAAAACATAGCTTATTTTGAGTAGAAAATGCTTACAAAAGCTGTTTTTTGTACGATAAACGGTTCCGGAGATATTCGAAAAAAACGATTTTTTTCTAAAATTTCAACACCCTGTATCTCGAAAATTGTGCATTTTAGAGGGTAAGTTAATAGCGACTTTTTTCATCTTTTTGGATGAGCTATCACATCCTGAAGTCCTGCGCATATATTATGAAACACCCTGTATATTAAGTAACCCTAACCTGCTTTCCATTCTCTAAATCGTTATTCTTTTAAATAATTGTACAATTAATTAAAAGAAGAACGATATTACTATTTAGTAAATTAAATTTTATCTAATTATATTATATAATTCATTAAAATAAAAATAAAAACAAAACAATATACAGGGTGAGTCATTTAACTTGAAACTTGAAATATCTCAGTTTGTATGCATTTTACGAAAAAATGTTAAAAATAAAAATTATATGATTTGAGGGGGGAAATCAATCAGTACTAAAATTGGTCCTCATACTCTCCTCCTTATAGGGGAACATGGAGTAACTTTAAAATTTCCAATAGAACACCCTATTTTTTATTGATGATTCTGATCATTCGACTAAACATAGGTACTTAGATTTTGTCTAAAACATTTTTTCATATTTGTAATAGATGACGCTGTAATGAAAAAAAATGTTGTTTGATTTTTTAAATTTTAATTAAAGTAGGTGCTCAAAATGGTGGCCTTCGACTTCAATACATTTATTAATTCGCATTTCGTTTTAATATTCTGCTAACACTGCTCTGGGATATTCCCAAATCTCTAGATAATTCTCGTTTGCTTGCATGAGGATTAGCTGCCGTTGCTGCTAATAGATTATTCTATTATTTCCACCTGTGACTGTTGCTGGGCGAACTCTTTTTTTCGGTTGAACACTCCCGTTTATAGTAAACTGCTTGACTGTATACACCGTATACGGTGAAATGAAGTACGTGATCGAATTTTATCCGGAAAACGCTGAGCGTAGATATTAACAGCATCATCAAGATTCCTGCCTGCTTCTCCATAAATCAAAATCATTTCTATTTTTTCTTCCACTGTTCAAAAATCAATTATGAATAACTGCTCAACGAAAGGATGTCTTTTTGTTTGCAAATTAATCTTCTAAATAAATTGATTAAATAATGCTAAACTATTAATAGTTTCTTTATACCTTAATAATAATAATTATTTATAACTAAATACCATTTTTTATACCTTAATTAATTAAATTAATTATTTGACAAAAGAATGTTTTTTTAACCTTAAATGAGGTATTTTAATTAAAAATAGTACAATAAACCTTTAAATTAAAGGATTTAATGCTGGCAGGTAAAAAGTGACCATGGTGCGCAATTGATAATTATCATTATAATTATAATTATCACCGAATGAAATAATGTATATAACTTAAATATTAGTTAAAAAATCGTGGGTACTTAAAAAAATCAGATTTAATTTAATAAGGTAATTATTACCAAAAAAGTGATATTTTTATAGAAAAATTATTGCAGAATCGTATACAGAAAAAAAATCGAACAAATTGATTTTTTTTTATTACAAATATGAAAAAATGTTTTAGTCAAAATCCACCTATGTTTAGTCGAATGAATTTTGTTCTATTGGAAATTTTAAAGTTTCCCCCTGTTCCCCCTATAAGGAGGAAAATATGAGGACCAATTTTTGTACTGATTGATTTCCCCCCTTGAATCATTTAATTTTTAAACATTTTTTCGTAAAACTGAGATATTTCAAAGTTTCAAGTTAAATGAGTCACCCTGTATATATGTATCGTTAATTTATCTTTTGTCGCACTTCCTTAATTCTTGTTTTTGTTTTTGTTTAATTAATGAATTACGTAATATAATTATAAAATATTTAATTTAAATTACTAATAATTACTATTATTATTTATTTTTACTATTATTTACTATTGTTTTTGTTTTTATTTTAATGAATCATATAATATAATTAGATTATATTTAATTTACTAAATAGTAATATTACTATTTACTCTTATTATTTTGTTAATACTAAAAAATGTTACAAATAAAGATGATTTGATTTGATTTTGATTTAATGTTAATAAGTTTGTTTATAACTTTACTGACTACAATACTATACAAACGTAATAATGTTAATATCAAAAAAAGTATAAGAATCTGACATCATATTTCCACCTGTTAAATTTACAGTAGGTACCTATTTATCTAACACCCTGTATAAATTTAATTTTAGGACTACAGTTAAAGAAAGTGACAAAAAAAATGAAGCAACTAGTACAGATGTTGATGATGATGATGACGACTACGACGAGGATTCATCCACGTCCGAAAATGTTGAAAAAAACAAGAATTTAAAAAGCAAAGAAAATCATGAAGTTAGGAAATCCACAAGAAGTAGAAAAGTAACTGCCCCAATGTGAGTTACTTTCATTTGAATTTTATTAAATTTTAAATAAATTTTTTAACAAAAATCATAATTTTGATGCTACATATTTCAAAATATAAAAAGTAACTGCCATATTGTTTTCAACTGTTTGTTTTCAACAATATATTAACATTTTTTACCTACCTACTCATAATTTCAGAGTTAAAGATAGTAGTAGCGATGAACAAAGTGACTTTTCTGCTGATGAAGATTCTTCTTACACTCCTGAAGATGAAGAAGTTAAAGGAAACAAACATTATCGACGAATTAAATCGAGGTTTGTAAAAAATATTTTTGTATCTACTTCGAATGCATAATTTTGTTTTTTTTCTGCGAATATTGATAAACATTATAAATTTCCAGCCTAACAACGTGAATAATAAACTCATTATTCACGGTGTTATGCATCAGTGATTGGCCGATTTCAATATTCACTATGATTTGAACCAATCAGGTTTTAAATTGGAAGAAGGCGACTATAATATTTTACAGATGTCAGATTTTATTTATTTAATTTTGAAAATCATTTAATTATATACTTATTGGACTAGATACAGTATAGAATTACACTCGAGATTATGCTTATTAATAACCTCATCCTCGTGAATAATAGCCTGCATTATCTCTTGTATAATAATACCATTAAATTGTGTCAGAAGTGTTTTCTTGTAAAATCTATATTCTATACGAAGTATCGTTAGTAGCGCCACCACTCGGCTGTTATCATCGTAACAAAAGTAAAACTTTTAATAATCAGCTGTCAGACGCTTATGTTACAAACGAGTGTTTTTGAGAATAAAGCCGGAAAATGTTAAAAAAAATATCGAAAAAAAAAACCGTGCCTCGATTTGATGTGTTGTTGGGTGTATTTTGAGAGGAAATCCTGGGTTGAGTTTTTACCGGTTTTCCAATAATTATTAATTATTTAAATAGTGTTAATCTGAATGAAGATATAAATTGCATACAGTCTCTGTAAATAAAAATTGTACCTATTAGATACAATAAATACACATTTTAGTAGTGATTAACGTGAAAAGTGTAAACATTTCAATTCAGTAAAAATCGTAAAACAAATAAGTCGTCTAAATTTAAACAGCATTTAGCATTATTAAAAGCGTTGATTAAGAAAGTCTCCACTCAACGGTAAAATACCATTATATTATGTATTATATTATGTTGCCATGAATTCGAAGGTATATTTTGTTGTTTAAAATGCAGTTGTCGGCGTTTTTTAGAGAACTCAAATATAAAAATGGTTAATTTTAAGGTTATGTTTGTGCAAAAATTATTTTTTACCAATTTCTTAAAATGTCCAAACTTAATTAATATTTAAATATACATTATATTAGGTAAAGTTATCATTAGTTAATTCTGCACCGACAAATGTACTTACCGAATTGGATCCTTTGGCAAAACATGAAAATGCAACGATTTAGTTCTTGAATTTTATTAATAATTAAAAACAATAATTCACCATCATCCCTTAGATAAAATACACACACTAATTTAACTAAGGATTTAAGCGTTGATTTTCTTAATCAATGACTGTGATACCAACTAAGGCTGTCAATTCCTAAAGTAATAAACGGTTAACCGGTTCGCAAGTTTTGACCGGTTTCGGTTTCAACCGGATTTTTTAAATTATTATACCCGGTTCGGATATCTGGTTAACCGGTTAACCAGTCCGATTATCTGGTTAACCGATCTGATCAAACCGAACCGGACCGGTTAGACCGGATCGGCGGCTTAACCGTAACCGTGACCAGTTAAACCCGTCACCGGTTTATTCGTTACTGGTTTAACTGGAGCCGTCACCGGTTTAATCAAGTTTCAAAATAAATTATAGTAAAGTGATAAAAAATAATAACAAAACTCAATATTTTTTTATTATTGAGTTTTGATGTAAAAAAATCAATTTATGAGCATTTTCCGGTAGCAATTGCTTAAGCAGTTTCTTTTCGCCGAAACTATGTTGCCTGCACTAAAAAACATGAAAAAACTATAGGTTTTCTTATTTCTTTTTGAATGTTTATGTTTTTTTTTGTATTTTTTTAATAAAAAAATACTTTCAACCGAAATCGGCAGCAAAGTAGTCAAAATATGGCAATAAAGTAAAAGAAATCGGCAGTAAAGTAGAACTTTACTGCCGATTTAATACGAGTATTGTATGCAACCCATTATACATTTTAAGATTTGTCTACTGCTCCTCAGTAGCAATTAAATAATATTTTAAAAAAGCACCGTCGCGGAGGTCGATTGGACCCTTTCACAAAATGTTGTTTAATAAAAATAATAGGTTATTTTTATTAATTAGATTAAAAACTCGCCGCCGCGGGCAAATATATAATAACCGTCGCAACAAACAGTATACGTAGACACTTCCTACATTCAAATGACATTTGATTTTATCATCAATATTAATTATTAGTACCTAATATTAAATGTGATTTCGGATAAAATTTAATATGCACCTCGGCATTAAAATCATTTTTTATCACTCACGTTTACACATTCGTGATAAAAAATACGACTTTACTGCCTTGATACATAAATAACTATTTTCCGCAAACGTCAAAAAATGTCTACTTTGTTAACTTCAATTCATGATGTCAAAGTTTGATTTCACAGACGGCGGATGGTTGCCCATAGCAGCGTAGAAAAAAGTACTTTTTTGTACGCTCACGGGCGTAGAAAAAAGTACTTTTTTGTACGCTCACGGGCGTACAAAAAAGTGAAATTATATAAATTTAAAAGAGAAAGTAAAAATTCATTGAACTAGGGATATATAAACAAAGGACATAGGTACTTTTAAACTTTATTAACGATAATTAATGGTAAAAATACAATTATTTAAGGTTGCACCGGAATAATTTAATGCAACTTTTGAGTTATTACCATTTTGTTCAGAGTTTAATAAATTTGGTAATAAAATTTCCCTTGACTCCTTACTTGTTGTTGCTTCTGTTATATCTACTGCGAGAGAATTTTGCTCATAAAATCTGCATTCAGGTTCAGTGAAGAAGAATCTGACATCAAGATTTTTTTGCAGTTTCTTTTTTATTAGACAAAGAGTTCTCTATGTATCCTTCGGCCACACTGCTTGACTTCCAGCCTCCATGTCGCTTTAAACAACGATCGTGGCTTTTTCGTTTTATTATCAGGAATTTTTATATGAATAACAGATCCTAAATCTTCTATATTGTCTATGCTCATATTCACCATTTCTTCGCACCTACATGCTCCTGACACGCCTATTATTAAAACTATCTGAAAGTAGCATATATTTTAAAACATAAATGTAATTATGCAGGTATATTATACCAAACCTTAATTCCTAGATATTGCTCATTAGGGGCTTGATTTAAAAAGTATTCAAACTGTTCCTTTGTGAACACATTTGACTTTTTGGGGGTATAGCCTTCATTCTGCTTTTTCAAATAAGCACGTAGCTTCATATATTTGCTAATATCTAATCCATGTTTGATATTCAGCAAAGATTTAATCATGGAATATTGGGACCACATTGTGGAACTCTTCATTTTAAGTTTGGTTGCTAGTTCATAAAAATAAGCTAGTAGCATTGAGTCTCAATGCTAGTAGCACATTTTCCGAATAATTTGTAATGTGTTTCTCATTGCACCATGTGAGAAATCTTTCATAAGCATGATTATAAACTCTGCTTGACTTAGTTGGAATTAAATCGTTCGTAGCTGCTTGAGCAATGTTAACAACATCGGGCGGCGTACCGTTAAGTTCAGAATCAGACATAATGTAATCTATAAGAAAATTTGTTTAATATATTTTAATACAAGTCTAGCTCATCCACTCACCAAAAATGCACAGCACAGAACAGATGCACAGTCCCTTTGTTACTGCTCTGAATGTTTTGGTTGAAATGTCATAATTTTTTTGAAATGTCATATTTTTTTTGCCTTGGCAACCTTTAAGCCACAGAATTACATTTTTTTTCAAGCGGCCTTGATATGCAACCTTATATGCATGTATAGAGATAGTTGAAGTGACTAACTTCTAGCCGGTGCCCCAACATCGATCCCGACTGGACAAAGAATTTATTATATATTATACAATGCATCATTATCATTTAAAATTGACGGCACAACAATAATATAATAATAAATTGTACCTGTATACATGTTAAGGGCACGTTAGTTACGTAATAAAACCACACCAACCCAAACTCAACAACACAACCCAACCGACCCCGCCCCATTGGCCCCCCCCCCGCCCCATTGAGCAAAAAACCCAACTAAAATGGGCAAATTTATGTTACGATAAAAATAAAACACTTTTTAACAAAGGAACAACAAATTTATGAAATGAGTACCTTAGATGCAAAACTCGGTTTTTGCAAATTAAAAAATAAAATAAAATTGACTTTAAATTCTGTTTAGTGTTCGTCCTAGATAAATGGCGTTCATAAAATTTGATACATAATAATATTATATTATATATATTATTATGTATCAAGTTTTATAAACGCCATTTATCTAGGACGAACACCAAACAGAATTTAAAGCCAATTTTATTTTTTTTTTAAATTTGCAAAAACCGAGTTTTGCATCTAATGTACTCAAATAAAAAAGTAAAAAAAATTCGACAACTTCTGAGTATCGAACCCGGGACCTCTCGCATGCAAAGCAAACGCCCTACCATCTAAGCTATCTAGCTTGACAACAAATTTTGTATGTTCGGGGAACAAAACCGGATTATTATTATGACGTCACGTTATAAGGCGGTTCGTGCTAGCTCGTGAGAAGTCGGGATCGATGTTGGGTCACCGACTAGAAGTTTCTGTTGAAGTGCGTCTTTTTCATTAGCGGCAGACAAAAAAAGCAAAAAAGCTTAGGGATAGAAGTAAATCCATAGGCGACTCAATAGACGTCAAATAATAAAATTAATTTAGCATTTCATACAAAGCAATCACGATGTATTAATTATATTAATTATAATCGCATGGAATATTAAGTGATTATTTATTCAATTTTAATTGAACGAAATAAAGAACAACCAGTTTGTTAGTATAATATTATGATGATAGACGAGTCGCCAATGTCGGAACTCCAAACAAATGTCAAAATTAATTCAAGCGCACCATTTTGACAGAGCAGTGTTTATATTTAGTTTATCCTTTTTCTATGGTTTAGGATATTTACTGGCATTGTAAGTAAGGGTTATTTAGTTTTTTTAGTTTTTATCAATAATTTCTAATGCTTTTAGCTAAAGTTTTATCCCACATGAGTTATGAGTAAAAAAATAATGTTATTGCTTATCCTATTTATATTACGCCCTTGAAAAAAAAATTGTATATGTTATTTGGAGTAGAAGCTCTTTTTGTGCTTTGTACAGTTGCCTGCCTCAGCTACGCTTCGGCCGTCAATCTCTGTACTCACCACAAAAAGAGTCACTTCTACTCCTTATGACATAATCTACTATTTTCTTTATCTTTTTTAAAAATATTCATTTGAAAACCGTTTGCGGAAAAAATAGCATGTTTTATTCGGTGTAAAAGCACTTTTTGTGGCTCGCCTGAAACATTCAGTCTCACCACAAAAAGTCTTGCTTTTACTCCTAATAAAACAATTTACTATTTTTATATATGCCATAAGACCTTTTGTCGCACTCGTCCATTGCAAAACTCGCTCCTGATATTTGACAACTGTCAACTAACTTGAACTCGCTTAAAACTAACTTCAGTCCCTGACTTAAAACCTGTTGCTAACTTCAGCCCGTGAATAAAGCGCCATAAAGCCACACCTTGTCAATGTGTATTTAAAAGATCACTTAATGTCATGGAAACATGTACAATAATGGGCGTTTTAATGGTGGGAGTGGAAAATAGTATATTATGAATCAAGTTTTATAAACGCCATTTTATTAACGAGTTTTATTAGGCACGAGCAAAGCTTGCGAGCGAGTGTTTAATAAAAACGAGTAGAAACGAATACTATAGTTTATCTAAGACGAACAGTAATAAGAATTTAAAGCCAATTTTAGTTGTTAAATATTTGACATCTGTCAACTGTCAATGGATTTAACCTAACTTTTTCCCAATTTATAATAAAGCCAACTTCAGCCCGTGACTAAAATGCCCAAAAGCTACTGTTGCTAACTTCTGCCCGTGACTAAAACGCCATAAAGTCACAGCTCATCAATGGGGGATTAGATAAAGATATTTAAACATACCTACCTAAAATTTTAGATCTAAAATTAACGACAGTGATGAAGAAAGTGACAATTCTGATGAGGGAGATGAAAGTGAAAATTCATTGTGCAATATTAAGAAAGAAGGAAAGGATAGTGACTTTTCTGAGGATGATGATAAAAAATCCTCGGACAATGAGGATGAAGAAAAAGAAGATGATGAAGCCATGCTTGAGACGAAAATCGAGGTGGAGGATCATGGGGTTAATTTTAAGGATCCAAATAAATCGGGGTGAGTTTTTTTAAAAGATTTTTATATCCTGCAGGTCCCGGAAACATTATTCTGTGCAGGTTTGATTGCGCATTCTCCTTTTTTTAAACAAAAATCATTTTATTTATTCAATAGTCTTCATCTAGATCAATACACTTCGCCCAGCGATCTTTTAAAATTTGTCTCAAAATATGCATTATTTCTTAATTTTTAGGTATTTTTTTTTTCGGCGAGACATTTTTTTAAATTTATAAACAGGCAGTCACTGGGGATCAGATCTGGCAAATAAGGTGGATGCGGCCGCAATCCCCAGTCTAATTCCTTGATGTTTATAGCGGCTTTGCTAGCTGGGGAATTGTCTTGATAAAACAGAATTTTAGTCTTTGCCAAATGAGGGAGTTTTTATTCATGTGTAGTTTTATACAGGGAGGTCCCCAAGGTGGTCCCTATTTGGGATTTTTTTCAATGATAGGCCTGAATTGGTTCCAAATATATTTTCAATGAGAAAACATGTATTTTTAAAATCAAATTTTGTAAAAAATTTTGTAACTTTTATATTAATTTAATTTAATTTAAAAACTTGAAATTGTGTTCTGAAAAAAAAATGTTTCTTACTTATAGATATAAAGACATATTTTTTCACTTTTCTGCCAAAGTTGTGCTAAATAAACACACGAAATTTGTTGATTTTTTGTGTATTTTAAAAACACAAAAGGTCAATTCAGAAAGAGAACAAAATGTTTTATGAAAATTTTTGAAGGTTTGTTGTTCCTATGATAATAATTTTATGATAGTTCTCAGCAATAAAATTAAGTAATAATAACTATCATAAAATTATTTTTATAGGAACAACATATCTTCAAAAATATTCATGTTGTTTCTTTTTGTCCCGTTGGTAATCATGGAATTGCCCAAAAGTTCCTTCACACTGACGCCTATATAACCTGATTACTAAACGATGTAATGCGCTCAAATTTTGACAGGAGTCTAGAAATGAATATTACTTTTTATTTGTGGAACCGGCTAGTTGGCATGGATTTAAACAAACTAGTAGGCATTTAAAGAAAATATTTTAAAAATAAATTAAACTTCTTATAAGAAAATGCAATCAATGTTTTCAACAAATAAAAAATAGCTTATGGCACCAACACTTTTTCGACAGCTGACAACTTTTCAGTGACAACAGACCAAACATCAAATTTACACAACACAAGATAAATAAAAATTCGTGTTACTTTCTGAACACACCTCGTATAAATTTCCCTACAAGTCTTATTTTGTTCTGGCCCGGGGCCACTTTAGCCCAAGCTCCGGCCCTAGAACTTATTATATTAATCCTATTTCATACAGTGGCGGCTAATGGATTTTATGTATACCAATATCTCAGTTATTAGACATGGGACCCACACCAAATTTATAATAGTTTGTAATGACATTAAATAAACAAGTTCGGCGCAAACAGAATTTAAATTGAAGTTACAGACAAATTTAAAATTTTATTTAAAAAATCCAAATATTACAGATTTTATTCGATTTTAAATTTTTATTATTTATTTTATTCAAATAAAAAAATATTTAAAATGGTATAAAACCTGTAATATTTGGATTTTTTAAATAAAATTTTAAATTTGTCGATAAATTATAGTAGATAATAAATTGCACCACTTTAATTTGAATTTTCTTAAATAGGGGGGCCTGGAGGCGGGTGAGGCGACAGGAAAAACTAACTTTTTTTCGCAAACTTCAATTTAAATTCTGTTTGCGCCGAACTTGTCTATTTAATGTCATTATAAACTATTATAAATTTGGTGTGGGTCCCATGTCTAATAACTGAAATATTGATATACCCAAAATCCACCAGCCGCCACTGATTTCATATACCTAGAAGTTTACAAAAAAATTTTAGTGTGGTAATGTAAAATTAAATGTTTTTGTAGGACTGATAGTGGAGTTTCAAATAAAGAAGACACAACAAATACTGGCGATAATAGTCCTTCCAAAAGCAGAAAAAGGTACGTTTTTTATTCTTAATTCAAACTTTTGTATAGTCCCTGACAAGACGTTGCACATTGTGTTAACTTGTCATGCATTATGCATGATGCATATGCCATTTATTAATATGTCGTTATAAAATTTTGGATTACTTGTAACTTCTAATAACGTTTAATATGAAAGACGAAAAATTTAAACAATTTGGTACCTACCGTTATCATCGTAACCAAACTACAACTTTTATTAATCAGCTGTCAAACGCGTATGCTACAAACGAGTGTTTTTAAGAATAATGCCGGAAAATGTTAAAAATATCGAGAAAAAAAAACGTGTTATGTTGTTGGGTGTTTTTCGGGAGAAAATCCTGCGTTGAGTTTTTACCGGTTTCCCAAGAAACAATGGAAATCCGAATGGAGAAATAAATTGCATACGAATATAAATTGTACCTATTTGATACAATAAATACATATTTTAGTGATAATTTACGTAAAAATTATAAACATTTTATTTTAGTAAAAATCATAAAACAAATAAGACGTCTAAATTCAAACAGCGTAATGCATTATTAAAAGCATTGATCAAGAAAGTCTCCACCCAACGATAAAAAAACAAAAACGGGTATTATATTATGTATTACCTATATGTATACAATATTATGTTGCCCTGAATTCGTACATATTTTTTGACCTTTTTTTTAGGAGACTATAAAAATTGCTTAGTTTGGGCGCTAAACGGTCCTGAAATTAAAATTTTATAATTGTTTTTAATATAAATTTAAAACGGCTTTTGACATTTTTATAAAATTTGGTATGTTGACATTGTTTCATGGGACAAAAAGTATAGTAAAAAACGATTTCAAAATTGTATTTGCAGGACCGTATAGCACCCAACCTAGGCACAAACTTATTTTTGGTCTATGGAATATGTGGTAGATGTTTGTAAAGACACTGTATTTTTTATAAAACTAAACAGACATAAAAAAAGTGTAAATGTAAATTATTTTTTTAGGAACGCCGATGAATTTATAAAAAAAGAAAACCGAGAGAACATAAGCCCTCCTAGAAAGAAAAAAAGGTGAGTGTTTTATAATTTAAACATTTCTACTGTTCTTCTACCGTTTTTTCGTTATATGTATTTTTTAGGCCCTGGCACCAGTTTTTAAAACTGAATTTGGGGTCAATAACACTGTGCGACAAATTTTGACCTTACAATTTGAACTGGGATGAAATGTGGAAAAATCGAAACTATGCAACCCCCAAAACTAATCTTTAAAGGGGTTTTGCTAGTTTAGCTCGAATAATGGAGATATATAAAAGCCCCTAGAACTTAAAAAATATGAATTTTATAGAAAAATGCTCGGACACGTCGATTTTTATTTTATATGACGCAATTTTCAGTTGATTTTAAAATTTGGTAAAAAAAATAAAACAAAAAAACTGTAAATCAACGAATGTATTGTTCAAAGTGATTTCCTCCAACCTCCATGCAATAGTACAGACGTTGATTAAAATGGAAAATTGACTATATCTCAAAAACTGTTCCACTTTTTTAACTTTTGACGACTTTTTCGGATTCAGGAGAAAATTTTACATAAGAATTGGCTGTTAAATTTTGGGATACCATGGTATTCCATGGTTAACCATGGCACAAGTGAAAAAGCAGCCACTATTAACTATTAAATTAGTTACTTTTGACATTTTTAGAGAGTACATTACCTGTTATTTAAGGTATAACAAAGGGTCGGTTTTCTTTAAAAAAAAAAAGTGGGGTGGCTGGGGGTGAATCTGTGAAAAAATAAAAATTTCAAAATCAACTGAAAATTGCCTCATATAAAATAAAAATCGACGTGTCCGAGCATTTTTCTATAAAATTCATATTTTTTAAGTTCTAGCCCCTGGGCTTTTATATATCTCCATTATTCGAGCTAAACTGGTAAAACCCCTTAAAGGATTTGTTTTGGGGGTTGCCTAGATTCGATTTTTTCAGATTTGATCCCAGTTCATTTTTTGTGTTGCACAGTGTAATAAAGACTTTTTATTAATATTATTATAAATACTATTTAGCTAAAGTTGACTGCATGCAACAATAGGTTTTTAACACCATGCTTTTTTTATGTACAAAATTTGACTGCATTATTTGCAGTACAAATTTATAAACATAAAATTATATTTTTAGGTATAGGTTAATATAACAACCGTTACGCTTGAAAATAAAAAGTAAATCAAGTGTGTATGTATTTATATTATTAATGTTACAAGTACCCGACCTACTGCCGTAAATTATTGATATATAATATAGGTCGGGTATGGACATCCTTTTAACATATTGGTATTTATTGAGTATTAAGGCTTAAAGAAAAAGGAAGTATAATACTTACCAAAAAATAAGAATGTCCTCTTAGGGATTCACCGTAATTAAAATCTAACTAAACAAAAATGCCACACTTCCACAACGCGGTATCTCCGGATATGCACTGCGTATAGGTACCAACCAAACATTTTAAAACGCATTTCGGTTATTACCAGTTTTTTCAGTCTATTTTGCCACTATTGGTGTAATTTAACTTTAATTGTGATACAATGTGCACTAGTAGTGTAAAGAAAAAAGGGCTCTTAGTAACATCAAAACAGACAAAGAAATTGGCATGCACTGTAGTGTACATTTTGTCACTATTTAACACATTAAGGGGTAATAAACACTCGCATTAAGTTTTTCTACCCTTTTGATTTATTTTAATAATAAATAGTGTGAATGTACCAATGAATAATGTTCATATTCTTTAAATGTGTTTAATAAAGTTAATAAGCACTAAATGCTACCTAGTGTATTTAGTAGTGTAACTTTTACACTTACAAATCAACTATAATATTTTACCCCTACACTAAAAAATTTCCACGGGCAAAATTTTTTACTGCGTATTAATATGAAACTTATTTTATGCTTGAAAAAAAAACTATATACGACATGATTGGGTTTTTTATATTTTATTAATTAATTAAGCTGTGTTGAATATTTTTCCTAAAGGAACAATTGCCAATGGGCCATTAATTCATTTGTTCGTAGATGCTACAATAACCTGCACTGGTGTGTACTTTTTGATCAACCAGATTTAAATATACATAACATAAAACTACCAGTGGAGATGTGCAGGGTCTACCAACAGACCTCATTACTAAATTATTAAAGTTTAATAGCATAGCGATCATTTTTTCAACATAACATCTGAAATTTTTAATACAAATATAGATACTTTATATAATCCTCTGTGCTTTACATACCTGAGTTGTTATGGTAAATAAAAATCAGACAAAGGAACCAAAGAAAGGTACTATTTTCAACAAAAAAATCATATGCAGAAATGAGAATATTCAAACTACTTGCATCCATCAAAAGATCAAAACTTCTTGCAATATTGAGTTACACCCTCTTTTTATACTCTCAGAAAAATTGACTAGAACAGTATTAGAGAGACTTCAGTTTCTATAACTTGGTAGAGTAAAGATAAGTCGAAACCGTTGCGATATTGGATTGCGCTGTTTTAGTATAATTTTCGGGGACATTAACGAAAATCATTGCCAGTAAAATTCGAAAATCTTGAGTTTCTATGTCTCTGAAGAGAATAGGAATCCGAAGTTGCTGCACCATTGGACTGAACCCTTTTTCAATAATTTCTAGACACATAAATGACTGCACCATTCGACAGGGTCGAGTTTCTACCTTTCTGTTGAATATAGAAAATCAAAATAATGTATCTTGTAAGACACCATTGAGTTTGACTTTAACTATAGTCGTGCATAGGTGGGTCATTTTCAAGAAACACCCGCTTTCAGGAAAATGAAGATCAACATTTTTTTTGGTTAAATTGACTTTTGGTTGGATTTTTATAAATTTTTAGAGTTTTGTTTACTTACATTTAAGACAGGCGTGCACTTTTTAATTTATTTTACGTTTTTTTTTCAGAAAAATGTGTTTAGCTAGCTTTATATGTCTCCACTGTGTTACCAAAGTTGTTATAAAAATAATTTGAAATAAAATGTACTTAGTTCACAAACTTTTGACTCCAATTTAATTTTTTATTAAAAATTGTATGCCTTTTTTAAATATTTATGTTAGTTAAGTTACTTTTTAAAAGACACCATTCCGAATCTTTGTTAAAAAAATAATACCATTAATATTTTCTTTTAGTCACTGTATTAGTGAGTTAAACTTTAATTTATAAACAGGTATTACCAAGTGATAGTAAAATCATTTTAAGGATTTTTTAACAAAAACTAAAAAAGTAACGAAATAGACATTGGTATCACAACGGACTGGGGTACACAAAGGACTTAATCAGATAACGTAAAAAAGAAACTATATAGGGTGGTACGATTTTAGAGTAATGCATAAACAAAATCCCTTATAGTGGTGCTCACTTGCAGAATAACAACTTAGATTTCTAAATTATAGACACCCTTTTTCTTTGACTATAAGCTGGTGTCTTTTAGTACTTGTATATTGCCTGGAATTTTTCTTTGGATGTAATCTATATCATGAGTTAACTCATGATATAGATTACATCCAAAGAAAAATTCCAGGCAATATACAAGTACTAAAAGACACAATTGTAATCACAAATAATTTTAAATTGGTTTATCATAAACTACTTTTAATCAAATCGACGGTAAATATCCACTTTGTTGTCGAAAAATTCCATTGCGTTACCCTAAATTCCATTGCGTTACCATAAGGTAACGTAATGGACTCGGTAACGCAGTGGACAAAGTTTTGTGAAACCATATTTAAAAAATAATAATAAAACATTACAGTCATTAATTACTCTCAATGAGCTTTAGTGCCCTAAAACAAAAATAAATATGAAAAAAAGTATTTTTTCTTACCTTATTTTTATTATTTTTTTGAGTAACGGACAAACAATTATTACAATCGCGTTACCCGCACCTGTTTCAACCGATATCTTCTTCCTGATTGAATAAATAAATTCAGCTGGGTAATGTGTACGTCCGAACATCATTTGTTAATCACGTGAGTGCCAAAAAAGTTGCCATATATATGTTTTTTTAAATATTCTATCGGAAATGCGACGGACGTAACGCAACGGAAAAAATGTCTGGGACATGAGTCAAATTTAAAAAAAAGTAGATTAAAATTAATTAATTTATATATAAATAATTTATATATAAATTAATTTATTTTAATCTACTTTTTTTTAAATTTGACTCATGTCCCAGACATTTTTTCCGTTGCGTTACGTGTAAACAATTATTGTTTACTTTATTAACTAAGGATGTTATGGATTGCTATAAAGCAACACAAAGTTCTGGTTATTCATTTAAAAAAAAACAAGTATGTAAGTTTTATAAAACGCTAATGGGACATGCGAAAATGTGTGTTTTGACAAGTTTAAAAATTAAAAAAAAAATATTCTGAAATAACTAAACAAACATTTTCTGAAAGAGTTTACTAAGGGCTTGTTAGGCTTTCACTTGGTTTTTAAATCAATAAGATCCGATAATTTTTAACAAAGTTATTGGAATTCAAACTTACGGACAGCGGAAGGCGGGTGTTTTGAAAACGACCCAGGTATAGAGGCGAAAAATATAAAAACAAAGCACGATTCAGTACAGTTCTGATAAAACTTTAAGATTTAGTACTCAAACGGGGAGTCATCCTATACAGTTCTATATTTTTCCGTTTGCTGGGAACTATAGATAGCCATGTTATCTATCTTCTTTGAGACGCAATCTTAGATCTAGTAATAAAAATTACCAAATTTTATTTTTGCCACGTTTTAGCTCAAAATACCTGCCTGTCGTCGGTTAACGGCTTTTTTAACTTTGAACGGCTTTTATGTCATGTGGGAAAACTCTTTTTTTATGTAAATATCCCCTAGTAAGTAAATAATAAATAACCATTCTGTGATTTTGAGCTTGTTTTTTGTTTTAGGAAAGGCAGGAAATCAGAGGGCGGACGTTGTCCGCATTGCCCAAAATCTTACGCAAGAGGAGATACTTTGGAAAACCACATCGAAAGCCAACACGGCGACTCCGCGCAAAGAAAAAAATACACGTGTC